CAATAAAAGCAATGCAGTACTCTCAGAGTACTAAGCCCAGTGGAAAGAGAAAAGATGGAGTCCTGGGTGACTCTGTTCACATGAACTTCAAGAACAGGCAAAACCACAGGACTGCAAGCTACTGTGGTTCTTAGGGTTAATGTTTGCAGTGTATGGATTGAGTGCTGAGCAGCACAAGGAATCTTTTTAGGGAAATCTGATTGTCACAGTAGTTACATGGTTATATACAATTTCCAAAGATGTCTAAACTGTTGAGTGAATTTCAGTACATGTACATGAGACCAAAATTTCATGTGGCAGCCAGATATTTTTGATGTTTTATGGACAAAGAGATTTGTAGGAGTGTGTGGATATGACCTGTCTATAATCAAACTTGGTTTTTTTCCCTACTAAAAGAATCTGGTTAGTAGAGATGATCACCCTTGCAAAACTGGGTTGGCAGTTGTCAGTCACTTAGCAAAAATACAAAGCAAAGATTAAATATTTAATTTTGATATACCAAGTTTTCTGTAGCATTTTATTTTTTATCATTTACTACTTTTTACAGTGAATTTAAAAATACACTTCATGTCACTATAACTCTCTCTGCATTATAATTTGCATGTAGAACGAGCTCATACTTATGGGAGGTTCTTTTGCTTTTCTCCGATTTTAACTTGGCATTTAAAATCAGTCTATATAACATAGCAGTACCTTAAATATGTGTAAAGAATCACATTTGTAAAGGTAGTATTATGTATATGCCTGGTTTCCAATGTATAATAAAAACTTTTTATTAAAAAGTGCTTAAGTTTTATGAGATGCAGTCATAGCTTTTATTAGAGAATGATAGTTGAGCAAATTTTGTGGGTATGGAGCATTATAAACATATACAAACACGTGAAATGCACTAATGATACACACATCTGAGGGCTTTCTTAGGCAGGATACCTGATAGCCAGTAGCCTTTCCCAAGAAGCAAAGGATTCTTATTTGATTAGGAACTAAGATTAGGAACTAAGAAATATGTTGTAAATTAACTGAAAAAGTGTTACAATAAATGCTATGTGAACTTAAAAGTTATATAAAAACAGTAATGCCCAAAGGCACATTAGCATAGTGCCCAGTAGACATTCAGTTTGTGGAGAGGAACATTACAGGTGCTTGGGCCTTACCAGCCCAAATCCCACAGTGACCTGTGGTGGTTAGAGTGTGCTCTAGTAAGTGCCTACAGAATCATCATTTGCAATTACTGCTGAAATTCAAGCCACCAGTCTGCACATCTATAAGATACCTACCTAATTTGTTTTGGTTTGGGTTGGTTCAGGGAGGGGGAGAGGTTGGTGGTCCTGGGAATTGAATAATACAAAGCAAATAATTGAAATATACAAAGCAAAGATTAAATATTTAATTTTGATATACCAAGTTTTCTGTAGCATTTTATTTTTTATCATTTACTACTTTTTACAGTAGCTCTCAGAGTACTGTACTAGACAAGTGCTCTGCCATGGGCCACACTCACTTCCATCCCTCCATCTAATGTTGAGGGGTGGATTTGATCAAAAGCACACTCTTATAATGATACAGAGCGTTCACATCATTCCAGAAAGTTCTGTCATGTTCCACCAGTCCAAACCTGCCTACCCTCCCACCCCCACCATTCTTCTGAAATTTTTTTCTCCATAGATGAGTTTAGTTTTTCTGGAATTTCAAATAAATGGAATTGTGTAATACCCACTCTTTTCTGTGAAGGCTTCATTCACTTAGCAGAATATTTTGGCAATTCATCCGTATGGTTGGATGTATCAGTAAGTCCTTATTTTTTAATTGCTGAATTGTATTTCTCTGTATGAATATGCTCCAGTTTGTTTATCCATTCTCCTTTTGATGGACATCTGTGCTGTTCCCAGTTTCTATTATAAACAAAAAGGATGAGTGACTTAAAGTCCCTTAGGACAAATAAGCAAAGCATTATGGGAAGCATGAAAGGAAAGAAATATTAGACAGGGACTGGTAATGTTCTTGGAGGATATGGTGTTTGAGCAGGCTGGCAGAGAGTAGGGTCCTAGCAGAAACAGTAACAATGTAACCAGAAGTGTGGGTGCATTGGGCCTGATAACCCACAGTGGAATTCACTCGGGTTAGCCTGTATTGGTGCCCAGTAGACGGAAGGCGAGGAAAGCAGACTGGGACCCAGCTGATGAGGATCCTGGCTGCTGTGCCAAGCAGTGTGAATTAGGTTGTAGCAGAGAGCTGTAGAAGCTTTAGAATTGGGAATATCTTAATCCCTTCTCTGCTTTGGAAGAACTTCAGCAATATTTGAAAAAGTGAATTAGAAGGGAAAGGGAGACTGGCTACTTGGGACCCTATTGCAAGTGTCCAGGGGGGAGATAGTGTGGGCCCCCAGGGACAGTGGGTGAGGAAAGCTGGATCTGTGACACGTAGGCATGGAAGGAATAGGAAGGAGTTCAGGGTGTCTGGAGGTGCTCACCGTGTTGGTGGAATATTGGTTGAGTGAGAGGGCGGACCACTGGAGGAGCAAGGGCTCAGGCTTTGAGGAATGAAGAAAGCTGCATCCACCTCCAGGGCTGAGAGCCTGGGCAGCTGGAGACAGTTTTATCGAACAAGACATTTTTGTTAATGGCAGGACATTTTCTGCCTTGTTTTAATAGTCTGATAGTGCATTATTAGTCACGTGGGGGTACACACACCAGCACTCTCTCCACCTCCTTTTCCGCCCTTCCCCTCACCGTTCTTTCTTCCCCTTCCTCTCTCTCTCCTTCCCTCTCTCCCTTTATCCTCCCTCTAGCCTTTCCTCCCTCCCTTCCTTCCCTATGTATTGATGTAGATACACAGGTTCCCATTCTTTTCCCAGTATTTTAGAATTTTTTATTGCCTTTTAATTGTTTTGGTGCTCACACTGTCCTAGATTTGGCCAGTGGGGGCCCTTTCAGTCTAGTTCCATGCCCCATCATTTCTTGAAGTGTCTTTTTGGTATTATGAGATATTTCAAATTCATTTTACAGCATCTCAACCCTGGAATGAACCACTTCTTTAAGGACCCTGGTCCCATTTTAGTTGGGATGGTAGTAGAAACTAAGATCGAAACTTGGTATACCGCTTGCTACTGGGTTCTCACTCCTCTTGGGGGACAGAGCTGTAAGCTATGTGTATGGATATATACCAATAGATACATGTATGAACAGTCATGTGTACATGTACAAATATGAACATATAAACACATACTTACAGAAATCGCAAGCCCAAACCTGTGTCTCCAGTTCCATCCATCCCACAGGGTTCTCCTTGCCCTCCCGCATTCCAGCTACATCAGCACGTTTACTGATTTGTTCAGTACCATATGATGCTCTTTTGTACTTTTTTAATTGGAAATCACTCCATCCTCATTCTCACTTCCTTAAGGTCTTCATTCTTTTTTGTAACTGTTTGCACGTAATTGAGTGTACATACCATAATATATACACCCAGTCTCCTATGCTTAGACATTTAGTCACTTTGCAATATTTTGCAGTTACAAGTTATGCTGTAAAAAATAACATGTACATATGTACTTGCATTTTGTGTTTCTGCATTATTGGAGGTAGATCTTTTTAATTCCTAGAAGCAGGACTACTAAACATATGCAGATGTGGTTTTATTAAGTATTGCCACATTTCCCCAGTCTGTATCACAGTATATCAGCAAGGCTGGATATTTTTGCTAATCTAGTGGGTGAGAAACCATATTTCAGTCACTTTAATATGCATCATGAATGGAAGTGAACATCTTTTCACATATTTAAGAAGTGTCTGTGCTTGTGTGCACGTATGTACATGTAAGAGTGGAGTGAGTTGTTTGTTCATAGCTTTCTCATTTTTCTATGGAGTATTCAGTCTCTTCAATTTTGAGTTACATATGTTAAAGACATCAACCCTTTGTCTGTGATATATGTTGCCATTATTTTCTCCTGCTTTGTCATTTGTCTTTTTTACTTTGCTCATTACTGCCATGAAAAAGATTTTTACATTTATGAAGTCAAATTTATGAATTATGAGTCACAGTATTAAAAACTTTTTTTCTAGGGCTGAGAGATTAGCTCAGTGGTAGAGCACTTGCCTAGCATGTATGAGACCCTGGGCTTGATTTAAAAAAAAAAAAGCAAGAAAAGAAAAAAAAAAACCTCTTCTCAACTTGACTGGAGGAATTAACTCAAGTTTATTCTAGAACTTGTATAGTTAAGTTTTTCATGTCAGCTCTCATGTCTAGATAGCTGACCCATTGTGCACTTACTCTTCTGCATGGTGTGAAGCATTGGCCTAATTGTATCTTTCCCACTTATCCTCCCATCATGATAAAGAAGTTCATCTTTGCCCCAGTCATTCAAGATACCACCTTTATCATGCATAGATTTCTGCATGCATTTGGGGCTATTTCTAGACTTTGTATTTCATTAAATATTTTTAATGCCAATGTTTCTGAGTTTTCATTAAATATATATGTCTCAGCAGGCCAGGCACGATGGCGCACATCTGTAATCCCAGCAACTTGGCAGGCTGAGGCAGGACTACAAGTTCAAGACTAGCATCAGCAACTTACTGATGCCCCAAGCAACTTAAAAAGATCCTGTCTCACAATAAAAAACAAAGGGCTAGGGATGTGGTTCAGTGGTTATGTGCTCCTGGGTTGAATCCCCAGGACCAAAAATAAATAAATATATGTCCCAGCAGCCACTAGGTTCCAGAATTTACAATCCAGAGGAATTTTTATGCCTCTTCCCCTTTGAAGAAGAAGAGTGAGTCCATGTTGTTTTCTTACTTACCCTTCTGAGCTTTCTACATTTTCTAAAATCAGCTAAACTTTGATCTGTAGAACACCTTTTTGAAGGCATTATCAGGTTTTCAGCAGTAAACTTTAGCATGAATTTTTAACAGTCCCTCCATTCCCCACAGATATTGCCATTTTCTTCATAGCCCCTCAAGAAAATGGCTACAAAGCAGGGACACATAAAGCCTGGCCAGCCTAGAGAGGGCCGTGCGCCTCAGCCTCTCTTCTGCTTCCTGTAGCTTAGAAGAAGAACCAGGGAAGTAATTTTCTCCTCTTCTTCACAGAAGTGAACTGTCAAGTTCAGAGAAGATGCCAGTATGGGAGTAACCTGGAACAACTGGATGGTGGCGTTGTCGTGGGGAATGCTTTTAAGGACTCACTTCCTAGGGAAGCTGATAGGAGTGTGTTCATCTTCTCCCTTTCTCTCATCCTGTGCCCCTCTCTCTGGTCAAATGGAGTAATTTGCACTTAAACAAACAAAACAGATCGATTTTCTTAATTAAAAAAAATCTATTTACAGGACCCATTTAGAAGTGACAGGACTCCCTGCCCGTTTGGACTATTTTATCAAGTTATATTTCAGGAAACATATTTTCTTAAAGAAAATCAGAATATATAATCTGATTTAACTTACTATGTCAAATCCTATACAGCTTAAAAAATGGTGCCAGGTTTAATTATAAGTTTAACAAGCCAACCTTTTGGGAGAGAATAGAATTGCATGAAGGTGAGGTGTTTTGTGACTGTTCTGGTTTCCAGCGGGGTGAGAGCAGGTGGACAGGAAAATTCTTCAGTCCTGCTCTGTGTCTTCCCACTTGTCCTGAAGGTAAACCTGCTGCCTTCTTGTTTCAGGAAATCAAAACTGTTCTGTTAGGCAGCTCTCCTCTCCTGTTCTACTCTTCTGCTACAGTCGCTTTGCCATTAAGAACAGCTTAGATCTGTGTGTACCTGTGTACAGCGCAGCAGCGCAGAGCTTCTTCTGACTGACCTTTACCTGAGTTCCTGGGATTCCCCACGCAGGCAGCACTTACCGATTGCTGGTTTGTTGTTCAGGGATTCAGTGCTGAGGCATTTTCACGGCTGGTCTTCCTGCTCCTCTTAACATCTTTCGTGTTGTCCCACTTTTTGCATTTCAGCTTTTCAGCTACCAGCAGAGTCGGAAAGAGAAATCTGAGTCCTAGTCCAGGAGAAGACAGAGTATCGGGGGAGATTTCGGACTCTGAGCTTGAGCAGACAGATTCCTGTGCAGAGTCCCTCTCAGAGGGAAGAAAAAAGGCCAAGAAATTAAAAAGAATGAAGAAGGAGCTTTCTGCAGCAGGTGTGTGTGGGATCTTGCTGAAACCCCAGGGTTGTGTGCTCCTTAACTGCTCTAGAAACCTGTGTTTGGGGGGAAAGGATAGTAAAACTTCACTTGATGGCAAAGCCACATCGTCTTCCACTGGATCGGGAATTTTTAGGGGCAGTGTATTCTAATATGAGGACCCCTAAGAAGCTCTGGTGAGGTCTCATTAAAGTCCGTTTTGATAACCTCACTTCCCGTGGTTTAGAGATTTTGCTGATGTGTTTAGCGTAGCCTCAGTGTTTAAAATGTGACTTGAATTTGCATAGAGCCTACTCCCACGTGTGTTCTTCAGCAGCAGAGTTTACACTCTCCCCAGCAGCGCCGCAGGCAACCTGGATTTATCTCATAAGCAGAATTATATAAGAAGCCAGGAAATAGGAAATCGGCACGTGTCGAGAGCCCACTCCGCGCCAGACACTGTAGCAGGTGCCTTCTCTCCTCACTTGATTTTCACCACCCTGAGGTGAGGAATCATCGTCCCGGGGTTAGTGATACAGATGTCTGCCTGCCTCCAAGTGGTAAGAAGCTCTCAGAAACTGCAGCTGCAAGAAGCAGAGCCCAGGAGAACCAGCCTGCCAGAGCCTCAGCCCAGATCCTCTCCACCCCAGACCCGCCAGGGCCACATCTTAACACACTCTGGGGCTCACAGACCCTACACAGGCTAAAGGAAGGGCCTGGAGCAGCTTCTTGTCAGCCATTCCCTGCTGCTGAGGGACATGGTCAGGCAGCAGTGACAGGAGCCGTAGACACTGCTTCTCATGGCCTGTCTGATACTCTTCCTTTGAAATCTGTGAGGTACTCATTGTCCATGTTACAATTAAGAAAACAGAGACCCAAAGGGTATGTGACTTGTCCAAGGTCATGGAGCCCTTGACCTGTCCTGCGGGGACCATGTTGTGTACTCAGGATAAGAGAGATGTGGCCTAGACGCAATTATCATTCTCCTTTGTTTCACGATGACAGTTGCCCCGGTTAGCAGCTCTAACAGTCAAATCAAAGGAAGGCAAAGTCAGGCGCTGGAACTTGACGCATACCCACGCTAAGAATTCCCTTTGTTTTAATTAATTCCTTTTTTGCACATGGCCTGATCTGACTGCAGTGAGCTTTCTGAACCTCATTGATATTAATGAAGTCACAGAAGCAGCAGAAGTATTGCATGTTTTTTATACATTAGGCTGAAGCTTAGTTTTAACAGAAAAACTCTTGGTTGAGGCCTCGACTATATATTTTAGCAGTTCCCTTGAACCTGGGCCTCACTTCCTTTCCCTCAAATGAGTTTTGAGAAGCTTTTAATCTATAGCCTCTGTGATCTTCAGATTTGGTACCTCGTTACCATTGCCATGCTGTATCAAAAAAGTCATGCATTAAATGGTAGCCTGGCCTTTAGAGACCACCCTGAGCAAGTCTTGCCCTTGTTCCTGTCCTTGATAGCTCCATTCCTCATGCATTGTTCAGTTTCTCTTTTCTTAGTCACAGCCTTTTGTTTTTTTCTTTTATTTATTTTTTAATTTTTTTTTAGTTGTAGATGGACAAATACCTTTATTTTGTTTATTAATTATTTTATGTGGTGTTAAGGATCAAACCCAGAACCCCAAACGTGCTAGGCAAGGCTCTACCGCTGAGCCACACCCCAGCCCCAAGCCTTTTGTTTTTCTATACCACCATAATTTTTAAAATATTAAAATACTCAATAATAGAATGAATTAATAGATTAGTCTCTTTTGTAGCTTTTATCATTTTAAGTAAAAACTTTCTATAAGTTATTTAGGGTTTTGAACTTATAATACTGTAATGAAATAGGGTTTTTCCCCCTTCCCATTGACAGTAAAGCTGTCACTCACAAAAGATTTGAGCTTAAAAAAAAAATTATAGATTTTGTACAACTTCGTCAGTACTGCTGAAAGGGAAAGAGCAAGGGAGATTGAGCAGGAGAGCTTGGGATGACTGGGTTTTCTTCTGGAGCACCATCCACCCAGAGTGGCCTTTGGACGGTGCAAGGGGACGTTGAGTGGCCCCTCCCTGATATGTTTTAAGCATCTCTGCAGGACGCAGAGGACAGACCTGTGACTCAACCAGGCTTTCTCGCTCAGTTCCTTGACTGGAAGGCTTGTGAGTGGGCACACCCTTGTCCCCGGTGAGGTCTTTTTTATTTTTATGTGGTGCTGAGGGTTGAACACAGTGCCTCACACTCTCTAGGCAGTTACTGTACCACTAAGCTACGACCCCAGTCTCCAGTGAGGTCCGTGTTACACCTGTAGACGTATTTGAAATGTACCAGGGATGGGAGGCCATGCTCAGGAGCTGCAGAGTGTCTAATGAAAGTGGCCTGAGCCTTGGCTATGAGCTTCAGTACTCAGGGAGCAAGCTGAGGGCCTCAGGTGGCTCACCAGGGTGTTAGGTGTGGAGGACACAAGAGGGAAAGTGGACAGGGCCCGCCTGTGGGGATTTCTGATTTTCCAAGGAATAAGCAAAAAGGCAAGGACCATGGAATGTGGTGTGCTGTAGCAATCCTGAGGCAATTCAGCTCAGGAAATGTCACACAAAAGTGTCATATTCTTAGACATTCTGATGTGTAAGCTGCACAGAGTTAGTGACTAGATCCCTTTGCAGATAACAAAATGACCTAAGTAGAGAAATGACCATTTATTGGGTTTATATTATGTGCTAGATAATGTGGTAGAAGCATCCTTTATTATCTTGGGTAGTCCTTATAAACACACAACAAGGCCTAGAGGTCATTATTGCCCAGGTACAGAGAGGAAAGTGAGGCTCAGAGTATTGCAACTTGCAGAGTCAAACCACCAAGCTCAAACTTGCAGGGCTGTCTGGCTCCAGAGCTCACACCCTGCATGGCTCTGTGGGGGGTCAGATTTATCCAGATGTAGAGGAAACCAAGTCTCTAAATAGGTGAGTACTCCTTGCAGCTCTTCTGCATCACAGACCAGCCAGCCTGGACTTCCACATGATAAAGTTGCCCCAAAAAAGCCCAGATGACCAATCCCTTTTGGGGGCTTCTATTATATATCTATTATATATTTATTATATGCTCAGCAAATACTTTTCTCTCAAATGTGGTTGTTTCAATTGTGTTCTCAAAAAGCAAATGTCAGTGCAGGTCTCTGTGTCTATCGTGATGAGTGGTGATTGGTAGTGCCAGCCGCTGCCCCTCTGAGCAGTGTTAGATATGTTCTCTATTGGTACATAAAGGGTGAGGACTGCATGCCATTTATGCTGGAATGAACTGTCTGGGAAATGTGGTCGCTTTCCCAGGTCAAGTTAAATGATGGGTTTCCATAATGTGCTTGTTCTGCTGTGTTTGGTGTTGCCAGGGCCCAGAGAAACCTCAGCCTCAGTTCTCCCTTTCCTCTCCAGGAAGTCAAAGCTACCATGGTGGGCAAAACATGTAGGGCAGTCCACTAGTTGGAGGTTCCAGCAGCACCTAGTTAGAGTGTCTACAGAGGTGGCCCATAGGAACACCCACTGACATCCATGGTCATTCCCTGTCTTGCAAAGAGACACTGAGCCAGGTCTTTCCTGCACCCCATGCCCCCTGCACTTTGAAACACAGCACATCAGACCTTTACATGTTTGCCAAGAACCATGAGTTCTGTTGGAGTCTTGACTAATCCTTTTAACTTTTCAAGCTTAAACCCTTAGGGTTACAGTATAAAAATTGGGAATCTACTTAGAGCAGCAATCTTTTCATGCTATTACAGGTCTCATTAAAGTCAAAAATGACATCTACAGTTGCAGCTGACAAGTCACCTGAGAGGCCAGGCTATAGACATCCAGCTACCTCCAAGGAACCTTTTAAAACAGCTATGTTAAAATGTAGTTTCATCCAGGGGCGTGGTGCACACCTGTAATCCCAGGTACTGGGAAGCTAAGGCAGGACAAGTTCAAGGACAGCCTAGGCAATTTAGCAAGACCGTATCTCAAAAATGAAACACTAAAAGGGCTGGGGGGGAGTGACTCAGTGGTAAAGCACTTGCCTAGCATGTGTGAAGCCCTGGGTTCCATTCCTAGAACCACAGGAAAAGTTTTCAGCTTACACATGGCATAGGAGGTGGGTGCTGGGCTTGCGAGACAGCCTGCTGTGTGCAGGTCTGGGTCCTCTGTTCCCTCTGACAACTTAGGAAAGCTTCCCTTCACCGCCCGCCTTCTCAGCATGGAAAGCCCACCCGTTTCTCCCTCTTGAGCATCTCCTGTTGAAAACGTGCGTGGCTCCCCAGAGGATCTTCCGTAACAAGTGGTTGGACTCACCTGTGGTTTTGCTGAGTGTCCCGTTCTACAGTATGTACCCCGTTTTTTCCCTGTTAGAAAATCTTGGTCAAATAATTTTATTATAACATTTCATTTTAAGACACTTGATTTTTTTGTTGTTTTTTGAGATGGGATCTTGCTACATTGGTCAGGCTGGTCTCTACCTTCGCAGGCTCTAGTGCCTCCCAAGTAGCCTCCCCCAAATCCCTGCTGGCTCCTCTTAAACATCATTCCTAACAGAGTCTGCTTTATTAAGATACTTTGTATCAATGAGAGTCATGGCTTTTAAGGACTGGGGATTGTGGCTCAGTGGGAAACACTTGCCTACCATGCGAGGGGCCCAGGAGTCATCTCCTGCACTGCTGTCAAGTCGTCCCTTGCAGGGATGCAGTTGGATGAGTTTGCAGGACGTGTATATCATGTGACCGCTGCAGTGCTTGAGATCTAGAGCAGGTCTGTCATTCCAGGAATTCCCCAGTCCCCTGTAGCCAGCCCTTACCTAGACCCAAGACCTGGCACACTGGTTGGCGGGCTGCCACGTGGTGCTGC